GGGAATTATAGTTTTCCAAAGTGTAAAGGACCATCTAAGTGACAAAGGTTTTACACCTTAAATTATATCTAATTTCGTAGAATTCGTCACGACTCTTGAATTTGTAATCTTGAGAATGTAAGAGATTTGTTTTTATGAAAGAACTCTTGCTGCCTCGTCTTTGTTGCATTCATTTTATCTTTCGTTTCATTACTTATAAATGGTTGCAAGCTTTGGTGACACAAATATGCATTCGGAATAAAAGAAAATCAAAATCTAGAATATTGTATTAAGATCACTTGAAGACCAAAAACAAAAAAACAAAACAATGTTTAGTTACAACATGGCAAGCTTGAATAGCATTAAGATAATTTACTTTATAAAAGTAATAATCTAACTTATTATCTTCAAACACTTGTTTTTAGTGAACATTTCAAGAAAAGATTCAATACCTTTCAATATCGTTATGAAAATGCTTGTATAAAGCTATTTTTCATCAGACATATTTATCGCCTATGTTAAATATCTTAAATGGGCTTGTTTTCAATTAAGTTATTCAAAGTGAACTGATCTACAATGGGCATATATTTATTAAGTATTTCAAATATCAATATTAACAATAAAAGCTGCATCATTTGGATACTGTTATCAACTAGTCTTTGAAAAATATTTGATAGAGTTTAAAATGGCTTAATTTGGACATATACGAGGGTTGTCCCTAAAGTCCGTGACAAATTTTATAGACGGTTCATTTTTAACGCCAATAGATAATAATTCACACATATAACCGTTAAGTTTATTACTTAACATTACAACAAATCATTTTCAAAATATTTACTTTAGTTACTTAGAAATTTTCAGTATTAACGGCATTGGTTTCAGTTGCCGGCGCAATCAAATAATTTGCATTTTGTTATGGATGGGCTAAACTTAATAACGTATATTTCAAATATCTGATAATGTGTCAGCACAATGTTACGTTGATTTCCTCTGCTGCTATGTTTACATCATCTCAGAAAATCTTAGTTAAATAACTCAAGAAACGAACAAGATACGGATAAATGAAAATATCTCATAGAAAATAGGAAAGTTAAAATGGCGACGTTCGAAGAATTTGCGGCGCAGTGAACAGGTCACTCAGTTTTCTCGAGTATTTCGAGATGTCAGATGTTACGATTTTCAAAAAGAACTGTTTAGCAACATATCCTGAGCATTTGTTTACTAAATGCATGAACGGAACCAGAGTTCTGCAGTACTAAAAGCGAAAATAAGGAAAACACGAATAGGAAGACCGATCTCCGTCGCCTTTTTCCTACAGCTAAAAGAAGGTGCAACGAGACCGGAAGTTCGCGTATTGCAAAAATTAATGTATGCCATCCATACATTCAACAGACATTAACAACCACATGATTTAAGTCTGTAATTGACGATTTATAGGTAAAGCTGCACCATTTTTGCGTTGAAAGCCATTGAGAGTATTTGAGAAAGGTGCCTAATAGAGATTTAACTCGTCTTTGCCGTTTGACGTGCGCCGCGATTCAGATAGTTGTAATGGTGTTAACGGCATATTTTTGTTGTTTGTTGATATTTTGCTATATAAATTTGTAAAAATGTTTCAAGTATATGGGTTTATAACATATCAAAATATCAAATTCGTACCTATTTTATTTAGCTTTTAAACAATCTTGTCAAGGAATATTGGGACAACCCACGTATATGAATAATAATCATATTTTGTTTCATAGCAATTTATTCATACCTTCTTAACAAAGGCATGTCATCTCAAATTATGTATCTCACAATGATCATTAACGTCCATATATAATTATTTCATGGTTTGTCATTACGTATAATACTTTAAAATGATTATTTATAGTACTATGGTACGTACTACCTTTCGTCATAAACCAATTCACTTCAAGGAAATAGCTAAATAGAAAGGTACTGACTAAATCACTGAGCAATACTATGATAAAAAAATGCTGCTGAATTTAGTCAGAACAAGTTGCCGTTAGCATGTTAAGGTCTAAACTACCTTTAAAGGATTTGTGTGTTTTCAACGTTGGCTTTATTCTAGTTCATTACCTAAAGTCAAAAAAATAATAAGAAAACCCCCCAAAAACCCCAACAAGATATGACATTTTGAGCAGACACTTTAGTGATAATATTTTAAAGATTACGTTTACTTAGCAAAGTTCCACTTCAAGGCTCGTCTCATATATCCAAAAAAGATGACTTAAAAACGGATAAACTACTTTATGTAGGAAAAGAACTTAATTCATATCTAATTAATAGGCAACAATTTCTAGACACACTATTTCATAGATTTATTTGTAAACATGTGTGTACTTTTAGATTGAATGAATTTTGCTCCTCAGAACATAAACATGTTTTATTCTTAGTACTGCAACGTATTGTGTTTATGATATTTTGCAAATATTTAGAACTTACCAATACCTACAAAGAAAGATTGTAACTAAAATGTTTGTACACATATTATATGACTGTACACTTTTGTTCAACGCATATTTTCAAATGTTTTTATATGAAATCATTAAAACTAGCAAATAACGTCTCTTGCTATAATGCGTTTTGTCAGGATAAAGGATATTTAAAAAAAGATTAATTATGTAAAGTTACCTAATTTAGCGTCTGTTTTTTATTTGAAATGTTCAGAATCAATCACTGAGTATTACACAAGATCGTTTAAAAGTATAGTTTTTTATTTAAACATGAAAGCACTTTTATCTATAAATCGACATCAACTCATTACGACTTCTTTATTGATCACGTTTTTTTTACAACTTTGCTGATAAGTAATTAGCTAAATAATTATGTAAAAGAACCAATGTTAAGTATATAATTATAATATCAATCAAATATTGAAATTTTTTATCAATTAATTTCTACAGGCGTTTTGTCCTTTTTTGAAACATAAATTATATCGAAATGGAGCAAACATTTATGACAATTATCGATAGATTTCTAATAAATTTCGGTTTTATTTTCTTCAGAATGACATTATTCTTTTGTTTGCAAGTAAAGCAGAAAATTTTAATATTATAGCTAAACATTGATAAGAAAGGAACGATAGAGAATTGTATGTTACGAAATGACGCAATAAAGGCACTGAAAGCCAAAGATTGACATTGTTGTGGGTCTCTTTATGATTGAACTAAAGCAGTTATATGAAATATAGCGTCAATTGTCTTTCTAATTGTAACAATTGTGCTCTCCTATGAGACTTCATCAAATATAATAGCACTACACTGTATTGCTGGGTGTAATGCTACTATTGAAAAAAAAGAAAACAACAGGATGATAGAAAATGGAGAAAAGATATCGTATTGTAGAAACGCTCACGGTAAGTTTGTCCATACTAAAATTATATTGTTTCTTTTATTATTATACGTGTCAAACAACCAGGAAGGAAATGTATATGTATGTTGTTTGTATGTCTGAGATATATGATCCTCCAAAATCCGACAAAGCAGCTAATTAACTGTTCTTGACCGAAATATTACTATTCATCATATAAAAGTTTATGCATTCTCATTCGATCATCATTTTTGTTTAAAGAAATATTTTTTTTAAAATTACCACATGATACATTTCTCTTATTTTTATCAATATTTTAGTACTTACTGAAAATGTGCCAATTGTTGACCAACCTTCTGCAAGTTTAAGACTTAATAGTTATTGTGGATACAGCGCACGCATGTATACATAATTAAAAATATTTTTCTACTTTAAAGAATTGCACACGCATATAACTGAAAACAAAAACTTCATTTTTTTTTACGAAATATAAGTACTACTCAACGAAAGGAATTCATTTAATTATATTAATATTAATCATCGTTCTAAGTGAAAATATGGAGCTTAATAACACCTTTTTATGCTAAATAAATAAAAAAAATGAAATTTTGAAATACGACATTAAGACTTTGTTCATGCTATAATTGCTGTCAAGAAACACACCATATTTGATACAAGACATTTAATAGTTTTGAATGAGTAACAACTGAACAACTGTATACCAATGGGAAATGAAATGCTAGAAGGCATAATGCAAGTCTTCCATATCAAAATAAACATTGGTGCTCATCGATTTGGACAGTAATGGTTATCACGATAATTAGATTAGTCCAGGAATTAATTGGGCATTCATTTACATGACATTCAGTATTGGCCAAGTAGGAATGAACATGTTGTGGAATATTAAGGAAAACTACACACTGACTGTGTCAGGACTACGAGTTTTACATGTCTGTATGAATGTCACGTTGGCCATAAGAGTTGTTATTAAAATACTTTAGGAAAAACAAATTGACCATATCCACACTTAAAATAAAAAAACATACATTACTTAAATCATTACAATGTACTAGAATTTTGCACTGCTTTTTAGTTAGAAAGAAAATCATTATTGAACAACGACGATCTAAACTTGAAACCTCCATATTAAAATATTTTTGTTTTGTTTTGTTTTTTTTACTTTCAATTAACAACCCATTATTTAACTAAACAATCCTGTTTTAATTTCACTTGATTTAACTAAAACAACTAGTAACATAGTAAACTAAAGATGATAGCTGTTTTATACTATAATTTTAATAATTTATCCTGCGGAGTACTCTTTCTTATTAAATGTGCATGAAAAACATTTTATTGTTTAAAAGACTATCATGATTTGAGTTTATATATCATATGGAATGTCGATAACAAGGCCTAGGATATGTAATATATATCTCGTTCAATGATTATAACTTTCTCGCAGACATGTTTGTTTAACTTTGAATAAAAATGCTACTTGCTTTGAGTATTCCTACATATGTACATTATGAAAATATCTTTTTTTTAAACAGTTAATAAATATATCGATAAAATATATTGAAATTATATTTTTGGAAAAAGAGAAAGTGAACTGTTTTCCAAATATTCTAAAATAATCATTTACATCACCATATATTTAAAAAAAACTATTAAATAAAGAGTCTAAAATATAAGCGTTCACTTACCATTTAAAAAGGACAGACATACAACAGCGCAAAGCAGATATTTCAAAATTTGCTCCATACTATTTATTTATTCTTTACGTATTCACTTCACTTTTATGTAGAAAATATACTGCGTTTCTGATTTAGTTTGGTAAAAAGTAATGACTTTTTCACTTATCCGCAGATGTATTTCAAAAATGAATATTTATCCGTGAAAACAATATAATTCCCTCGTGCCAGGTTCTCTTAACCAATCAAATTATCTTTCGTTGACTCGCGACAGCCAGAGTTGCAAATCCAATACTCGCTCAAATATGCTCCGCTCATCGTTCATTTTACCTTATGATTAATCGCAAAGCTCTGTCGGTGATTTTTTTTAATCCTCGAATGCCGATAGTTGATTTTAAATTTCATTGTTTTATATCAATTTCGAAAAAAAAAAAAAAAACGTTTCAAAAAGTAACTGTAATGCCGACGTGCCAGCATTTTCATGCCCCAGGGATTGCAATGTTGATGACATGAAGTATTCTGCTCCTGTTATTGAAGTTACAGGACAAATATCAATGTGAAAAAATATTTGGCACAACAAGCGTTTGAGCTATCCGTCAATTATAGGAATTTGAGAGTTATACGAGGATAATTGGCACGTTGATGCAAATAAAATGCACAAATTATTCGCATTAATATATGTGTCATGGAATGCAAAAATGGGGTTTCTTGACCAAATTTTTGATTTTCACTTTTTTTAATTTTCTGAATCTATGAAATATCAGAAGTAATTCCTGAAAATTTGAAGGTCGTGTCTTTCTTATTTACAAAGATATACATAATTTTGTGAGTATGGTGTCCAGTAAGTAATTAAAAATACACATAAAAATCTTTGATCTTTGTGATGTTTAAAGGTGCATGAGGAAAACAACTTTTGAAGCTAAAATGAATTTTGTGAAAAAATTGTTTTATGTTATTAAAGTTAATAAATGTTGTAGAATATTTTTGGAATACAGCCACCATAATTAAAGCATCATTTACATTATGTTGCCTAGCAACGGACCTATTCCTGGGTTCTTCCTGGCCTTTTTCGTGTAAAAAGTTATGTGCTAGGTTTATTTTATAACACTTGCAAGTATCAATACGAAATATATTCTTCTTTCACATTTACAAATGGTTCTATTGCATTTCTACAGTGTTAACAGGACATATTACTGTTGAGAGATATCATAATACAACTTCAAAAGAACTAAACACAGTGTCCATTTATCATTCATTTATTAACTTTATTCAGATATTTACTGTGACAGCAGACAACAGTTTAATACAACAGTAAATGAAAGATGACTCAAGTATAACATCATCAAAGGTAGTAACACTAAATAAAGGGCATCATTACACAAATACAAGATGAAGGAAACTATACTCTGTTACCTAGCAACCATGGAATATCCTTAATTTTTGTAATTTATTTTGTAAATATACAAATTTCTTGGTAAAATACAGCTAACAAAGCAGCAGAAGTAAATAAATTTTCAATAAAATTATAAACAATGCCTATTAATTACTTTTCAATAATTTTCCATTGAAGATATAACATACAATCCATGTTCTGTACACTTGACTAGTGTTAGTAAGTCATGCAAATTTTAGCAGAACTCAGTATTTTTGCCATGTATATAGCTCTGTATGTTTTGCAATAACCAATAAGCATTTGATCAAATCAGTTACTTTCCATACTACATAAATATATCTATCTGCTGTATAACTGATTTACATAATAGCTAAGCAATAAGTAAAAATTAATCAGTGTTGCCAAGCAACCACAATATCTTCCATAATTTTCTTTTAAATTTTACAAATTTTAAGTTTGATTAAAAAAGATCTCAAAATACCATGAACAAAGCAGCATGATTACAAAAAACAAATTACAACTATTAAAACTGCAAATACAATCTTAATAATAGTTCTTGAATCAAAGTATACTTAAACTCACTTTACTATAGGTTTTGAATTTATATAGATAATATACATAATTTCATAAAAGTATGTTCAGTAACATCTGGTGTTAACTACACTGTTTCACAACAAAGTAAGGACTTTGAATTGACTAGCATTATATTTAATTAAAAAGACATAAAGATAATTCTTACAAAAAATGTTCCTTACTTAAAACTGTCTCTGCATATAATTAGGTTGCTTAGCAACCAATGAATGATTATTAATTGTTTTATAAATTTCTAAATTTCCCAATTTTGTCAAGCATACAGGAGATTACAACAAAATAGCAATTTGTGCTATTATAAAAAAAAATGAAAAAAATACCACAAATAATGTGTAACTGAACTTAATAAGGTATTCAGAGAACAGCCTGCCTCACCATTCCTTAATAATATAAATTAAAAATGATACTTCTAATATCATGTTCACAACATTTATTTTCAGGTACATTTAAGGTTCTATATTTTGATATTTTATAACTTAGTGATGATTATTTTTCAATTATAGAGTTACAATGTGATCAAACATATAAAGTATTTTTATTATGATGCACCTGTTTAAAATCCTTCCCAACTGAAGGGAATATTGGTTGCCTAGCTACCATTGAATATTCTTTGATTTTGCTGCTTCTTTTAACAATTTTAAGGATTGGTGATAATTTACAATGTGATTCTACACTAATATCAACATAAAAATTCAACTGACCTATCATTGTTATAGATAAAGTATTTTTCATATTCTACAACTATAAAATGTTTAAAATTTGACAACAAGTACTGAAGCTTAATGTTACTTTACATTTTCATACAGTCATTTTCAATCTAGATCAAAGCTTAAGATCAGTTGACAGTTGATCAATTCATAACATGCATAGGTTCAATAGAATTCTATAACTTAGAGTAAAATGACAAATGTTGTATTACACTAAACTTAATCTAATAAACATTTTGTAAAAATGATGGAAATTAGTAACTGGTAAACTGACATCCAAAAATAATATAGGCAGCCATTAATTAATATCTATGCATCAATGATCCACACACTTGTTAATATAGCATTAGTCCTTAGAGCACCAGTTATGCAACACACTTGCAGTCTTATTTTATGAAGTATCTACTTGTATCATAAGCTATATTTGAAATGAAGAAAATAATGACAGTCCATACATGACCACTATGTTATAGGAACTCTAATTATACTCGAGAGTAAAAGACTGCTCTTTCTCTTTCCACCTTTTTCACATAATTGTCAATATCCAACTTTATTTCTGTTTTTGGGATAACTGGTTTTGGCCACACAGTATTTTAGCTATGTCAGATTTGAAGAACTGCCCAATTTGTTTAAATACATGCAGATACTAATGTCTTGCTGCATCATTACTGTACTTCAGGTAAAACCTCTGGGAGGCAATTGTTTCAGTAAATACATTTTTACCTCCACAGAGTTAATATATTCTTTACATGTAAAATTGTTATAACACTTGGCTCCATTGCACTTGCACAAAAATGTTGGTATTTGGATAACAGTTTGAGGGGTTTAACTTAAGAAATGACTTCCTAGGGATTTTCTGGATCATCTACATGTATAAGCTGTAGGATATTGTGCCCATATCTTGATGACTTCAGGACAGTACACTTAGGCAACCTGTTGCATAGTTTTTCACTTTCCAGATATAAAAGTACCAAGCATGTTGAGACTGACACTTCCATGAAGTCCTAAAATACATATAAATTGGAAATTTAAAAAGTTTGCATAGGATATAAATAGACAGTACTTAAGTAAATAATACTTAAAATTAAGATTATATTTAACTGAATATTCTTTTTGCAACTGAAAATACTATGGCATAGGAGAATAATAATAAAATTCATGACAAAGGAACACATCTGACAAGAAAAAATATATAAATCTACCTTGATAATATTTTAAAACATGTTTTTACAATATGCACATGTATGAAAAATATGTCAAAAAATGTTATGGGCAAACTAACCTGATCCCTCTACACAAACACCTAACACATGGAACTTTCTTGGTGTCCTAAAACATATTGAACCACCCGGTTGAGAATGATGGGAAAAGTGCACTTGTTGGGCATAATCCTAATGGTTGGAGTACTTTACATCAAGAGTGCATGGTGAAGTGCCTGAAATGTACAGTAGTTAAATTTATAAATTATGTTTTATTGATATACAGTTTTTACAATTTATAGAACAGTCAGACTTTCCCGAGGTCCTCAAGTTTTGCTAATAAGGCACCTGCAGATATGATTCCTTTAATATGTATCCTTTCTAGAAAGCTTGTCATAGGGCTGTGACTTTTTTTTAATTAAAATATTAAATCATTTCAAACAAGTTCAGGCTTAGGTATTCATTGATGTGCTTCTATTAAAGTGTAAACAAACATTTTAATGTGACATCATATGCCTTACAGCAACATAGTGTAAATACATGCTAAGTGTAAGCATTACACTATACAGTAGAGTCAGTGTACCCGGTTCCGCACAGGACCCGGTCCCGCACACTTTCCCATTTTTCATTTTTTCTTAAAAAAATCAAATGAATTCATTTAGTTTTCATTTGTGTTTCACTGAACTGGCATGTTTTCAACAGGATATGACATAATCTGGGATCTTGCACCCTAGCCTCTCCCTAGACAGTGCAGACGAAAATGTAAATACATGTACATGGCTGTGTAGGTCACACATAAAAACAACTTATTCAGCAATTAAACCATGCTAATTTCTATTTTAATGTTAAGATCATTATAAAATATATATTTGAAAAGAAATGTATGTTTTTGTTATGGCAAATTTGCTGTTAGTTTATTTGCACATGAATTAACTTCTCCCAACTACCAAATGTCAAGTCATTTCACCTTGATTCTTTTGTTTAAAATGATACCAAACTCTTAATCAAACAAATCATAACTAAACAGATGAAAAAAACTTCAATAATTATAATGTTTTATGTCTGTCTTTACTACATACAAGTGGTAAAAAGTATATTTCAATTGCTGTTACATGTTTCCTGTGTGCTACTATGCTTGGAAATAAATGTTTGTATACTGTAGTAAGAATGTGAATTAAATTTATTTGAAGTCCTGAAAATTTGCAAAGAAATATAACTTATCTGGACTTACAGATGTTGAATAATTTATAAAACATGTTTAAGATGTAAAATAACCTTTCAGTATAAAAATGGCCTTGTGTGCGGAACCGAGTCCACTATTTATCATATTTGGCCCATTCCTGTTGCTTAAAATCAAGTGCGCCTAGAAGTATGACCTACTTAAGATAGATATACTTCGGTAATCAGTTTTTTATGGGCAAAGGATGTAATTTTCAAAATAATATCTATTATAAGAAGAATTTTTAACTATAAGATAATTTTCTTATTTTTACTTAAAAAAGTGTACGACTCCGGGTACACTGACTCTAGTCTAGTTGTGTCAATGAAAAAATATATGCCTATGCACTCATTCAATACCCTCCATTTATTGAGTCTGGTTATGAGAAATTATGGAAACTGCAACATCTCTATACTTTTAATTTTAAAGATCTGAAAAATTTAAACAGCTCAAACAATGGAGCCAGAGATATATTTTCACTTTTGGGATACAAGTTTTCAACAGCTCAATTTTTTATTCTCATACATGTACAAATGTACTGTACTGTACAGTACTGTATGCATGGAAGAAAGTAAAGATTAAAATTCTTGAAAATCTTAAATTTCCTCACTTTGATGGTTGTTTTATCTAAGAGATTAATTACATAAATTTTGGTTTTAATTGCATTGAGTTAATAATTACTTGGCTGCCATTTTCCATGTTGCTATCAACAAACCGTTGTCCAGGAACTGCAATTGTTTCTACTTCCGGGTACAATTATTTCCGATAAAATACATATTTAAGCAAAATACTAGAAAAAATAAATACTCACCTAACCCGAATAATCCAGTTATATATAATTTTTGTCAAAGCAGACGTTGACAGTGTAAAATATTCTTTAAAACACCGAAAAACATCGAATCAATTCACCAATATTTTATCAACAATCAATGTCAGATGACGTAATCAGTTGTCCTCGTAAAAATCTTTTCCCGTGATAATTTAATTTACTGTCATAGGATGAACGGTAGCAAATTATTTTTGCCGTTGATTACTCTGTATGAATCAGGACCCCATGTGCTGACAAGTCATTTATTATATAATTAAGCGCTGTTTTACTGCCAGATGAACGGAAAAATAATGAAGAAAAAATGGCGTCAAAGATCTCGCATTTTCTCGATAACGACGTCAACGTCAAGAAGCCCCATTTTAGCATTCCACTACACATATATAAAACATGTATTTGAAATTATTAAGAAATGTAATCTTTTGGTGAGTGCGGGGCATCGGGGAAAGGGTATATTGTATTTTAACTCTTTTATAAATATATATTTTTACTTACAATCAATACATATTTTTATTGTAATGAAACTAGTTTGCTTTCATATAATCGAAGGACAGACTTATAAAATACTACTAAGTTTACATCACTGTTAATGTTTCATAAAAATAATAGCACTGTTTGCAAAAATTAGGTATTTATTTTCAATCTAAATAAAATTTCCAAAAATTAAAAACGTAATTTTACAAAGTCACAGTTAAGGTCTGGTTAAATATTTCTCGAATTTAATATTTGCCTGGTATAGCGCATGCACAACATCAAGACTTTGTATTCGTTACATTAATTTATCTTTAGAACCAAAAGCATGGTAACTTTGTAGCAGAAAATGATTTTAGTAATTTCCTAAACAATGCATCATAATTCATTTTTTTGTCATTTTGCACTTATCTACTGTACGCCACACTCTGTACACGTACATAAACTCTATACATGTACGCCACACTCTGTACACGTACATAAACTCTGTACACGTATATACACTCTGTCCACGTACATATACATTTGATATTATCACAAAGTGCACATGCTCCTTGGCGCAAATGATACAGCAGACAAAACGAGTGTATGTTTTAATTGCATATGGCACTTTCGTCTAGCCTTTAAAACTTAAAAGGTTTATTTCAGGCATAATGTATAGAATTGCAATGTTTTAATGAGATTTACGGAAGCCAAATGTTCAGGGCTTAACATTTAGCTGCAACTGCTGAGACAAGTATTTAACATTGTGGTAGAAAATTCCAGACGATATATCAAAGCTTTCAAGGTTGATGAATTAAAACGTATTCCGGAAATGTAAATGACAAAGTTGTTTACTAGAATATTTTTGCTGCTTAAAAACAAAATTTGGGACAAAGATTATTAAAGAGTAATATTAAAATTAATGATATATGAGGCAACTTAAAAGTTTATAAAGATATATATCAGCTTTAGAATTGAATATAATTAATTTTTGAAAAAGGATAAGTTTAAAATGTACGAATGAAATAATATGTTTATATATCTACCAAAAGGTAAATTGTGAATGAACAAAATCAGTGCTTATCAGTTATAACCCTACCTGAAATAGCAGCATAATGTTTCATTCTGTTTACATACGATATCCATGTATGTTACATAACAAACAGAGATATTACATGCTATGACGTTTTAAAGAATCATCTATAAGATTAACGAAACAACATAATTTTACTATATAAAGATTTTATAAAATATTTAATAGGAAATTCTTTTGAAAATGTTATAATAAGAAAATGATTTAAAGTAACATTAAAATTAGTATCTATTTATTTTGTATATGTGAGTATCATCATATAAATTATGCCTCCATTGAAATTATGATGGTTAAATTCCAAAAATGTTACATCATCGCCGCACCTATTAAAGTATGACTTGAATGACTTTCTTATTTAGTTCTATTCATGATATCATTTATTCCTTATTAATTTGTATCATAAAATAGCTATAAGAAGTTGTCAGTACTTCAGTATCTTCATAGTTTTCATTGGTTCAAGCACATCTTATATTGAAGACTGAATAACGCTTAAGCCGTTGAAAGGGTGGGGTGAGTAGAGAGGGGGTGAAGATTGGCGTGGGAAATGTTCCGATTTAACATAATCTCTCATGAACATACTCAATTAAACCGATTCTGCAATTTGTCTTAAAATTTTGTTGTCTTCAAAGAATTCTCTTGTCCAAGATTTGCTTGAATAACATCATAGTTCCTTGAACTCTGTCGCTCCTTTAATCATTCAAGTATGTCTAAATTAAAGTAATTGGATATTCTTTGTGCATGGGTCAAATGCATAACAAAAATATGTTGAACAAATAACTCTTTACTAAAAATAAAAAAAGATGATTGATCTAATAGCATATTAATCTGTGTAATATTTTAATCAGTTTAAACTTTGACTATGTTACTGAAGAGTTATTCCGTTTTAATATTGTCATTTTGAATAAACAAACAAAGGCGTGTTTATATAAACAAAATGTCGTATAAAATCAATTGTAACAAAAGTATAAATAATTTTATGACTCAATATTTTATTTCTATAAAGTATTGGCGTTACGTCTTCAAATCTCAAAGCGGCAATTACTTGAGTGGAAACATTACAAAAAGCAATTTCAATCCTCATGAAAAACGAATTATTTGAATAACCGATAAACGGATTTCTTTCCCAGAAAATAGATTTAAACTCCTATGAGAGAAATAAGAGTATATTTAACTAGTTTAAATCGTTATGTTTGACAAAATAATTGCAAATAGTTATAGAATATGAATTTTCATTGTCTACAAATCCCTAGTTTAATCGTTATCTCGCAAGATTGGTGACTGAGTTCTTTAAGTATCGTTCTGGCACGTAATCATAAGGTGCTTGCTGACAAGGCGATTAAGACTAGCTTTTATTCCTCATGATAGTGATATTTCTCCTACCTTACTGGTCAATTATTCAGTATAAAACTCTAATTTTTTGTCAAGTTTTCTAAATCATTTCATTGATAATTAATTATCCATGATAAGTAACTAGTACCACATTTCGGTAATTAATAAGTTTTTTTTCCAGAATCAGTTATTCTTTCTAAGCTGTCTGTTGCTTGATTATATCAGGTACCTTTTATTTTAATAGTAAAATGATATGATACTGTTTCATGTTTGTTACACGCAAACAAGATAGGAGACCCTATACTGGCCTTATATTCTAGGCATCATAAGGCTTGTGCATACTTTCAATATGACATGAAAACATCATCATCATCATCATTATCATCATCATCATCATCAGCAGCAGCAGCAGCAGCAGCACCACCACCACCACCACCACCACCACTACCATCACCACCACCAACAACAACAACAACGACGACGACGATAACAATCATAACATTTCTAAACCGTTCTAAAAAGCATCATTGTGTTTACCTCTAAGAGAAAAAACGTAAACAACAAAATCGCTAACTTTAGACACGCTAAGATAAGATCGCCGTACGCAAAAATAGTCTATCCATGCATGTTTTATGAAAAATATAACTTCTTTATCAATAAAAATAACTACATCTAGTTGACGCTGGAACAAAACAATAAGTAAAATAAAAACAATATACTTAATATAAAATAAGTTTAAGAAAAACCAACAAATTTCTTAATAAAATGTTTTGATTTGTTTAAGCAAAAACATTAGCGACATCGTGTACCTTTATAACCCGCATATTCTTTTCAAAATTAATGACGAAACTTGGTTTAATTCATTCATATTATTGTCAAAGAGTACTTACCCTAATTATTTAACAAAAGGTAAGCTCTTTCGTGCCTAAGGACAGTCGTGCTATTTGGTAACATTTTATCACGTATCATATATGACCAAAGTTCGGATGACTTATTGTTTTTATGCCTATTTGATAAAGAGAAGACTATATTTATTGTTTATCTTAACCGTCCATCTTTTCTTAAATTAAGCTTGATCACGCTTCATTTGCGTATATACATACACAGGAACGTGTTTGAAAACATAATTTTGTCTTTGAAGAATTAAGAGAAGCACAATGTTTGAAATTGTCCAAGTTATGAGTTACTTTTGATTCAGAAGTGCTAACAAATGTGCGCTGTTTATTCCTTTACTCTGAACGACATTAGGGAATCACACGGAACTATGACAGGAAAACGAGGGTTTTGTTTTGCGCAACTGTTTGGCGTTTTTCTCTTCTGCATCGGTTTGGTTGGTGGAATATTAATTGGTATATACGCATATTCTTGGGGACCAGACAGACAAGTCCTTTGTAAGGTACAAATTTACAAGTTAAATATAATATTTTGCCGTATACACTACGACGCAAGAGACTGTAGTAAAACCATTAATAAACGCAATAATATGCGCGTGAAAAAATCTTGCAACGTCACGTCACGTACAAACTTGTGTATTTTAGCGTTATACTCAGGCGCGTCAGGGAAAATGAATTTTACATTGCTTTTATGATGGGTCTGTGATTAATCAAATATTACATAGAAGCAGGCTCAATACTACATTTATTGAGCCTGTTGAATGATATAATATTTTGTTTAACTCCTACAATAAACTAAGTATTAAACCTACACTTAATTAATATACTCTGTCCCCAAAATTTATTAGTACAAGTACGTCGTTGAAATTGTTCAAACTTCTGAAATATATCATTAATTAATATTTCGGAAATAATCTTAGCTGCTTTGAATATCCCGATAAAATGTTCTAATGAAACATTTCAGAACTTCCCAGAATGTTTAATAGAAGGCTACAAATCAACTGAATCTGTAACAACAAAGCTTGCAACAACAAGTCCGAAATCAATTACAGAAATGCCGGACGATGACGACTGCACAGTTTGTAAAACGTATGTCCATTTATTTTAAAATGTTACGAACTTCAGTGTGTTTTTTTATATCTAAAAAATGAAATTATAGCTGACATAATACTCTTATCTTTTCATTTTACTCATAATATCTCGTGCAAGGACTAACTGGCGTGTATATAGTATTATTATACGGTCCTTACCTTCTTTTTAAATGACGTTATTTTAAAGCATTATTTATTGTGAATGCCCAAAACATCCAGCTAAATGTACTTTATGCAGAGGTTTTTTTCTTATCATCTAACATCACATTGTATAATTATGTTAAAATTCGGTTAATTGAAAATATCTTAATTGAAAATATCGTGACAATTTAAGAACGTAGCATCAACATTTTGATTATACTTATTAATATTATTTGTGTTTTTATTTTCGTTTTTCATATCGCTATAACACAATCAGGAGACTTTCCTATAATTGTTACTTAAAATCGAATTGTTCAGGAAAAATGATATCATAATTAAAATCATTCAAATCGTTATACAAAGAGTACCATCAAAAATAAGCCAACATTTTACATTACAGAAAGAGTTTTACATACACTATAAACAATCAGTTACGAGAGCCATATTTCAACAATACAATAACTATAGAGATTGAAGAAGAAGGCCTGCCTCTGATGAAATATATGGAAAGAGCTGCTGATGAAGATAATTCAAGTTTCAACAGGTATATTTATATCGTCACCTTCGTACAGTTAGGGTTAAGTCCTTCTAAATTTGATAGGAGTTAATCAGTTATTACACTAAGATGACGATATGTTTTTCCTCCTTCAGCTATATTGGTTGCTGAACGAATATGTACGGTAGAACATATTAGCCGGAATTAGGCGCTAACCGTGTGTTATGTTTAAATTTCTGAACCCTATATTCCCCCGTATATCTTGTGGCACATTATATAACGAGTTAGCCGCCTCCGTGATCGAGGAGTTAGAGTCGATGACTTCTAAGCCAGTTACCTCTCTGGCGTGGGTTCGATCCCCGGGAGATGCTTTGGTAGTTTAGCGCGGAGGAAGGTAGTCTAGAACTGGTGTAACTCTCCAGGAACGATGGTTAGGAAACGCCTATATAACTGAAATACTGTTGGGAAAAGGCGTAAAATAAAACAACAAACAACAAATATAACAAGGTCTTTCCGTTATATTTAAACATATGTAAAGTAAGTAATATCAGATACTATGAAGTTATATGTGGCGTCTGTAAAAAAATAAGATTAAATACAACATTTACGCTTGTGGCAGGGGGCGTTTATGTCGCTTCCCCTTTCAGTATCCCTCCCATCACTACTCACTCATATTTTATCCCCATGTTCCAATCTGCTCATTATCATATTGAATGTTTATCATAAACATATTCTTATAAAGTTTCATTATCCATCCACTCACGTGATTTTCTAGCTTTCATTTACTTTTTTTCAATATCAGTTTCTTTATCACTTTACGTTTACATGTTTAGACAGTGACTATCTTAAGCAGATAATCATGAGGAAATTGAAATATGCCCATATTAAGTCCATGTGAAGTTTTTTTTTATTTTGCTGAGTGTATATATATTCTTTAAACGTGACATTATAACCGTTTAAATTAGATTTACCTTTCGGAATTTCACAATTAAACATATGTAAAGTAAGTAATATCAGATACTATGAAGTTATATGTGGCGTCTGTAAAACAAATAAGATTAAATACAACATTTACGCTTGTGGCAGGGGGCGTTTATGTCGCTTCCCCTTTCAGTATCCCTCCCATCATTACTCACTCATATTTTATCCCCATGTTCCAATCTGTTCATTATCATATTGAATGTTTATCATAAACATATTCTTATAAAGTTTCATTATCCATCCACTCACGTGATTTTCTAGCTTTCATTTACTTTTTTTCAATATCAGTTTCTTTATCACTTTACGTTTACATGTTTAGACAGTGACTATCTTAAGCAGATAATCATGAGGAAATTGAAATATGCCCATATTAAGTCCATGTGAAGTTTTTTTTATATTTTGCTGAGTGTATATATATTCTTTAAACGTGACATTATAACCGTTTAAATTAGATTTACCTTTCGGAATTTCACAATTAAACATATGTAAAGTAAGTAATATCAGATACTATGAAGTTATATGTGGCGTCTGTAAAAAAATTAAGATTAAATACAACATTTACGCTTGTGGCAGGGGGCGTTTATGTCGCTTCCCCTTTCAGTATCCCTCCCATCATTACTCACTCATATTTTATCCCCATGTTCCAATCTGTTCATTATCATATTGAATGTTTATCATAAACATATTCTTATAAAGTTTCTTTATCCATCCACTCACGTGATTTTCTAGCTTTCATTTACTTTTTTCAATATCAGTTTCTTTATCACTTTACGTTTTAGACAGTGACTATCTTAAGCAGATAATCATGAGGAAATTGAAATATGCCCATATTAAGTCCATATGCAGTTTTTTTTTCATTTTGCTGAGTGTATATATATTCTTTAAACGTGACATTATAACCGTTTAAATTAGATTTACCTTTCGGAATTTCACCACTGAAATATTCTCTATAAAATTCATGCGTAGATGCTTATTTTGTTATTTTAAAAATATTATATGGAATGATGATTAAATTTGACAGGAGCAATTATATAAACATATTCTACACATGATACATGCATACACGTTTACACAACACTAAAACTAGCACCAGCCTTTAAAGACAAACTTTGTATTATACCTTACTAAGAACAACATGCATGACAATGTACAATAATATGTATTTTCAGATTTCAAGTTTCTTACTATTCCGGTATGGGATACTTCATCAGTTCTATCATTAACGTAACTGCCAACTATGCAGTAGATCAGACCTTTTGGCGAATAACAACATCAGAAGGACCTTCCCCAAAGAGTAAGTCTTAACACTATTTTCTATGCTGGCTTGGTGTATATCTATATCCTCTGTGTGCTGCTATGCAAATTGTGTCGCGCAACAACACAAAAAGAAGTCGGTATTCAAACATGGCGTGTTGTAAGGCGTGATGTTAATTGCATTTGGTCTTGTGGTTGAAAATAGCGCAAAGACAAACACTAAGGCTTTTTGAAATCAATCGAAAATACGATATTACGCATAAAGCAAGCCGGCTCCTTGTAAAAAAGTGACAGTCTACAAAAGGAAAGACGTATGATTTCCTATAAATAAGCTATTATAATAGTCAATTACCATTGTATTCCAGTTGTAATGTTGAAGATGTAATTATGTAACTTTATAAAATAAAGTGATATAATTTTCGGCTTATTTGGATGTGTTATTTTTAGAAATGAGTTTTTTATTATATTATAATTATATATCTCGATGGATATATTTCTTTTACCAAATGCAATAATTTCTTACATTCTTAAACTGTCTGTTCATGCGAATAAGAGTAAATATATATAGCGATTGAAACATTTACCAGAAAAGAACCGGATATTTTCGTCTTTACAAGTAACCTGCGTGTCTATTTCTTGCACATACCATAGTTGTTATAGTTAATATTATTCCAGAGCAGATATTTAAAGCTTAGGTTTATTAAGCACATTTGTTTTTCTAAAAGTATCGTATGAATTATTCAGTAAACGAGTGGTGACGTCGTTTGAAGCCAATGACTTATTCCAAAATGCAACGGCTTTATCTAAACATGCGCATCATCTCACACCTAAGTGGTGTAGGTTAACACTGTTAAAACCATTGGAAATGAGGTCCGATAAGAAATACGCATTTTTATTTACATTTTGTTTTCTTCAATGCACTAAAAGTTCTGCCGAACGAAACATAAAGGAAGCCTTACCACATTTAACAATTAAGAACATTAATTAAGAACATTAAGAACATTTATGAATGAAAACGGAATTTACCTATTGCTAACAAAAAAGCATTGTAATAAATGTTTGCTTTGATTTGTCCCTTTTTTCTGCAGGTATAGATTCTTACATGCCGATGGACGGAGTGATGATTCTTTTGAATTTCACCAGCAGCTCTCGCTAATACGGTTGACTATCATCGTGTAATCAATGTGACATGAACACATTTAAAACATTTCATTAGAGCACCATTATAAAGTAAATAAAAGAAAAGAAAACAAACAAAATAAAAACACGTATAATGCCTTTTTTTTAGTTCATTTGTGTTTAAAAGCATAACGTGACAATGTTACTAAAACAAGACGGGTTTGGAATTTCCATTTGGCATCAGTTTCCGAACTGTAAATCAGATTGACAATGCTATTGAAATCTAAATGTTGAAAAGGGTGCTATATATAAAACTTGGACATAAACAGACATAACTGCATATTAATGTTGATCTCAATAATCAATTGGAATCAGCTTCTGTCCTAAGATCAAGATCAGCCGTGTCTTCTGATCTTGTTCTAAACTGTTCGCTTTGAGCTATTATTTCATTTACAATTTTTGGTAAAATAATGAAATTCAATCCTTTTTCTCCACATTGAAATATCATTAATTAAGTAATTAAGTAGTTAGTGCACCGATTAGTCCAAAATATAATCAAGATCGTTAGTTTTTTCTTCTTCTTTTCTGATGTTGCAGGTTTCATTGTTTATTTAAGCTGATACAGTCGCGAGTTGCAATATAGCCTGTGATATAGCATTATACTAATTTTTATTTTGCTAATTCTAAATCACTTTTTATGGACATGTTAATTAATAATCTAAACATAACTCTAATTCACCACCCTCCCTCTAGCCTTTTTATTTTCAAGTTGCACTCCTCCAGATTTATAATTATTTCTACTTATTCTACTTATTCCTAGAAAAACAGGAGAAATGATTACATTATTATGTTGTATTTGTAAAAATATAAAACTTTTACAAAATGTACTAACACGCTTACATCCATACACAATTTATCTGGAATGAATTTGCATAATAGATCATTAGTTTAAATTTCTTGACCTTATACCCATATTGAGGCATGCAGCTATAATGTTATTATGAAGATTGTGTAATACATGCGTAGTTAGACGCTAATAAGAAAAATATTATTATTAAAACTTTGTGATGCAATTGTCAAGCTCATTTCAACTTTTCGAAATTACATGTATCATTTTCTTGTTCCATAAGTCAAAAGTCGATTGCCAAAACAGGATTACGTATTTTATCATCTAAAGAGGGGACGAATGAATGACAGAAACTGTTTTTAACGTTCATCTGCTTTTCTATTTATTCTTTTTTCTTATTAATTAGACGTTGATTTTTTAGGCGCGCGTTGAGCCTATCAAGATAAACGCGACGATTAAAATAAATGGTGAAATAAACGCTTCTGAAGACAGTGTTATGGGAAATTCAATGTCAGAAATTATTTAAGGTGAATGAATTCTTATTTGACGAAAAGGTAAGGCAAAAAGTAAAAAAACGTTCGTTCGGCTACATTCGGTTTCGTTATACCACTTCCTGATGCGCGTTTAAATTGTAACTAATGCCACGCTTGATCGATGATTTGATGAATACAGGTGTGTTTAAGTATACCACTATTCGTAAAAGGATAAGCATACAAGGCAGTTGGTGTATTTAACAGCTTAAATGTTTGAAACAAACTCATTTTATTTAAAAGAAACTCATAAATCAGAAGAAGTTATGTCAGGAAAACGGGAGTTTTGCGTCGCTCAGTTAATCGGAGTGTTTCTTTTCTGTTTTGGTTTGGCCGGCGGTATACTAATTGGGATTTACTTATATCATGGAGGACCTGATAGTGAAGTTTCTTGCAAGGTATATATTGAATTTATATAAATTAAAAATCATATTTTTTTGTTTTTATACCTGTATTTTCTTCTCAATTTTATAATTATAATTATACATAAACATCTAAAAATGAATGTTTTTAATTTCAAATCAAATTTCACAGAATATTTTGAATGACTCAATTCTATATTTCTGTCTCAAAATTGCTTCTATGATTATAGTATTTGCATGAATAATTTCAGAATCTCCCAGATTGGCTAAAGAACGGAGACAAGACTACAAGCACTTTACAAACGACCGTAACTTACGGACCAACCACTCCAAAGACTGACTGCATCAACTGTAATACAGAGTAAGATTCAGAAAAACATTTGATATATCTTTACCATTGGCATTAATTTTTCCACTGAATATATTAATATCCATAATGTTTTATACAAACAAAAATGTGCATACATTTTTGGACCCGGGATAATTATTTTAAATCGCAATAACAGCTGAACTGACGATTTATCTGATATCATTGTCTGTCATAAGGATGATTGTACAACAGTTGATGATTTAAAATGCTAAGGATAAAATATTGATATGCCTATTTATATAAAACTGCCCCAATCTTATCATAAGGCCACGTAAATTATTTATTGTTCATACGAAGGAAATTTTAACACCGAAAGGTATCATTGTATTATTTAAACTTAATCTGACTTTCACCTGTTCACTCACAATATACCCTTGGATATTTAATAAATATGTTTAAACAATTACACTATTGTAATAATTAGCGATAAATGTTCTATTTCGGATATTTAATTGTAGTCTATTTGTTTATACATGTAATTTTATTGAGATATGTTGAAATTATTTTTTTTTCTTAATATACCTTGTTTACATACACATTTTGAAAACTGATACACTGAGTGGTATATAAGTAATTTTAATATCCTTACTGCGCAATATATTTGCAAACCTATTGTACAGAACGGAATGAAATATTTGTTTTTAAGTACGAAATACCAATCCCAAAATAGCGTGTAAAAATAAATTTATTCACGATATGAACAAATTGTAATATTACGACGCAAAAAAAATTTATCACGCTTGAGTACAGCTCATTTTACTTAACCCGGAAGTTTTGTTGACTTCATGGAAAATGTGTTTCTTTTTAATTTATATTCGTTTCAAAAGTATACTTTAATGATAAAAAACAAAACAAAAAACATTTAACGCTCACTTTCTTCCGGAAATGTTTTATCATCAGATATCATTTTAACTTTGCTCTAGCCACGTGTATGATAGCGTATTTATTTGATTTACCTTTAAAACTAATTACATAATGTAAAAAGCGAAATCGTACATCTGAAAACATTGATTCAAAAGTATTCAATCTTTTCAGTCTGCGAATTAAACGTTATTATCTGTGATCCTGACATTTTGATTTATAGCATCAATGATTCTTCGGTAAAATTCGTGATTCCCCGGTAGAATTTGTGTATTTCCATTGATATTCATTCATTAATCGCTTCACGCCTATGCAAACTTTTTTTATTCTTAAACTATCTGGAGGCGTGCTGCTTTAATTTATTGATATATCTTTAATTCGACGAATTATAAGTTGAATATTACCTTATAGTCGTGCGAATGCGACTTTCTATTTAAAGATCCTGTAACACATTTTTTCAGGGTTTATTTCAACTATGATGCTCAAATTAAGATTTGTCAATATTGTAAGTTCCAATAAGAATTATTTATAAAGATATTACCGAATTTAAAATTTCATGTAAATAAAGGGAGGTAATTAGAAATTTATTTAGTACACATTTTACATCTTGTTCGATGTTTGAAAATTGTTTTATTTGCATAATTATATACATATATACTTTTTGCAAGTGTGGTATACACACAGTAACAATATCAATCACAAAACATACAGGATCTTTAAGGGATGCATTATGTCAGACACGACCAACCGATAACATGGGGCTTCGTAGCCAAGTGTTTAAGATTGCTGACCTGACTTAGGACCATTGTCCCCTCTCTTCATTGGGTTCGAATGCCACCAGTTACCTCGTATTTTGTCATGTATGGTTGGTTGTTCTACTCGAGTGACTACTGGCAAATGGACACATAAGTTTAACCAATTAAGGTAGAACGTTGCCATATGACCGGTGTTGATGGGACTCGAAACTCATCAAAACGCCTTCAAATTGTTTTATTTATAAAACTGACTCGCAAGGTGTGACCTTCCTCCATCCAACTTTACTATTACAAAAAATACGAGCATGTGCAGTCATAATGTATGACAGTACCTGATTCTGCTAGCTGCTCATCATTCCGGTTGTGAAACTGCAATCCCTTCGAATGGTTTCAAATAATATGCCTGGTATTTCTGTAAAAAACTTTTATCTGTTCCAAGCTTCTATTATTATTTCCCCTCTTTCCAGAGTTTATATAAAATATCATTAAATATTATCATTTTAGTATGACAATGAAGGAAATGAAGTTTTTCCAAAGATTTGATTTTTGTTTTTATATGCCAAATGTACATATATGTAGCAATTGTTCGACACAAAGTGCCCGGAAACTATAGTAAATGTACATGGAATCAAAATGGCAGACATTCGACGCTTTAATTTGTGTTGTTAAACTTATACATTCTTGAATATTTCAAACAGTCATTTGACAACAGTTACAATTCTGTTAGTGTTATTTACTAATTATTTCTTTTATTGAAACTGAAACATCCATTTTACATGAGAACAACGAATACTACCAATAATTATTGGAAATAAAAATATGAGTATCGATTTTAAGCAAATATTCAAAATGGATAGTGCATTTAATTTTATTTTACATTTGAAACAGTGAATAAAGTGTTTTTTTCATATTTATAGAAAGCGCTTCACATACACTATTAATAATCAGCTGCGAGAACCATTTTTCAACAACAGCGTTACCATGGAAATCGTAGATGAAGACAGTGCCCTGATAGATTACATGGAAAGGGCAGTTGATCAAAATAAAACAATTTTTACAAAGTATGTCACAGTTATATATCTCTATAGTGTCAATTCATTTGACAATATTTGCATTGTCTAATCTCGATACATTGCCTTGTAGTATATAATAAAATCCTCAAACTTTTTCTTTCAAAAATACGGGCTCGTAAATAAGTTCCATATATATAGGGTTTACATATAATAACGATATAAACTTATGTGTATAAATTAAGTATTAAAGGTTATTGTTTTGCCACTACTCACCAACAATGCATCGTTTTCTTTTATTATTAGAAGTACACTGTATTTTGCTTAAATGCATAGTTTTAGTTCCACTAATCAGCATGTGGGTAGTATTTCAAAATCACGCAACTATTTTCCGACAAAGAAAAATATATAAAGTGGTCCACTTCTACATGTTGGACCATTCAAATTTTTATGCAATATTTTGGTGTGATTTCTATAACATAACATAACTATGCTCTTTGCTTGCTTAAGTGTATTTATTCTATTATTTGGGCCCCATTCCGTTTACGTTATGAGCAATCAAAGATTACTTCATACAGTCTTTAAAAAACTTTTTATGTTCTAAAAGCTTTGTTCTAAAAGCAATGCGACCTTTTTCTAATGATATGACTTTATCAAAATTTGATAGCCAATAAAATAATTCAAACAGTATATGTCGGAATAATTGATCCTTCAGATTCACGGCTACATACTTTTCTGGGTTGGGGTATTTCATCGAATCTATCAATAACGTTAGTGGAACCTATGCAGTTGATAAATCATACTGGGAAATACGGACACAAACAGGACCAACAACAGTGGGTAAGATTATATATTGTGTATGCTTTTCTATATCTATAAAATAAAAAAACAAATAATTTGATTCGGTAAATTCAAGTTACTGCCACTACCGTTTGTCATACGCAAAAGAAGGCAAAGAAAAACAAAACAAGAACTTATTCTTATTTCATCTTGTGACATAAATCATGGACACAAATCGTGTCTAATATGAATTCAAAGTTTTACTTATAAATATGCTTATACATGTGTATAATTATTTTAGTCAATTATGTATTCTAAGAAAATATTCAAGTTCTTTGCAAAGTCAAAAGACTTTCATACAAGGGAAGGAGTAAATGTCCTATTAAACCATACTATCAGTTCTACCCATCACTAACACTATAAACTGTAATTATAGTATGTGTAGTGCATTTAGCTTTATTTTGTATTGTATCACGTTGTACTTTGTTGTACTGATGCATTTTTTATGAAGAGGATTACCTTCAAGTTTAACAATTATATTGTTACATACAGTCGTCGTTACTAAAATTCCCTTGAAATTAAATTTGACTTTTGTCATATACACAAACCTCAGACTATGTGTTTATTGGGCATAACATAAAGGACAAACGTGGTGGCAAAAATGCTTTGGATCAACTTGATATCTTAATATAAACACTGCCTTCAAATACACATATGTTTAAATGTTCTTAAAGTATCATGTGAATTTAAATTTAAAATGTATTTTTCCCTTTTTTCCTTAAATGACAATACATAATCCAATAAAGGCTTCATACGTTTTTCCTTTTCAATTCCAGGTGTAAGTTCTTTTATACCAACAGATGGAGTGGAGGTCCTATTCAACCTTACCATCAGCTCTCCAGCCAACGAACACAATTAACTTTATAAAGATTGTATTATTTTTTGTAGTTTTAATTGTATTGTTTTGTGTTTTATTTTGCATTGTATTGTGTGACTGTATTTCATTGTACTGAACATATTTTACAGATCCACAATCGAGTTAGACATGAAGAACATCCCTTAAGGTATTCTCTGTTTCTTTATCTAATCAAAACCACATATTTTGATGAGACAACAATTTTTATTACCCTTCCAGATTTTTTCCGCCTTTTTGATTGGATATTGATCACCCAAAAGAAATTGATATTACCGAGCCAGACGGGTAATATAAACACTAAATTTCCCCGTTGTGTACCCCACGTTCTAAACAACATGCGCTGAGGTGATGCGCGTACGGTTCGATTTTACGCGGTGTAAATTCCGATTTACAAGCATTTTTTAACTGTCAAATGAAAAATATTTACCAAAGTAGAGTAATGATACATATTCTCATCAGTATTGAAAACAAATATGACCTTGTGAAAGCTTGATAGTAATAAAAAAAAGTGCGTTCAATAGACTACTCCTTTTCTCTTGCTTACATTCGTTAGGTACGGGGAAAATACGTCATGTATTTATGTGCCGTCATGTTGTGATGAAGGGGTACCCTAAAGGGAATCTTATTTCGACGTTTCATTTGAAACAGCAATGATGTTTTTTTAAAAAACCGTCTAAACTCGGCAGGGGAAGGGTAATAAAATTATCACCCTCGCCTGACGGCTCGGGTGATATAAAATCTTAGCAGGTAATATATCCACATATATCACTCCAAAACCAAAATAACATATAATGTATCTTCTATAGCAAATGATATATAACTTTAAGCAACCATCCTTTTAACCGTTTTTATAATAGGTTTAGACAAATTTATTCATCATTATAATAGTTGGGACATCGTGTGCATCATTGATACTGTTTAATATCATAAGATTGCTAAACATCGTTGAGTACAATTGTGAATTCTATTGGACTAGTACACAGCTGTATTAACTATTATATTCGACGAGGCGTTTAGTCGAGCCCAATATAAAAATTGTAGCTGTGTACAAGCCGCAATCGGAATTAGATTGCATTATAGATTTGATATAGATTTATTGGACACTGAAAATAAGAACGAGGCTAAATAAAATGAATCATAAACTTTATACGAACGTGGCTAAATTAATATGAATGGACCCCTTAATGATGTCGTGTAGACAATAACTTGATTGAACAGCTGGTAGTTCACTGGTTACATTTATTAGGTGTGAAAAGTTTTTCCCTTTTCAACTTTTTTGAACATTTCTTGTATTTATACAAAGGTGGTATGCCCATCAGTATACAGTAATAATATAATCGTTCTTTACAAAACATATCAATTGTCAATATATGCATGATGTACACGTAACAGGTCTATCACAAAGTCAATTCTTATCCATTATCATAATATATCTAATATATAATATACACGATACAGTCAGAGGATAAAGTTATCGTGGATACAGTACACTGTCAATTTTATAACACTTTTGAAACAGATATCGATATTTTTTAACTATCAACACACTTTCAGATTCAAGTAATTCTCTAACTTTTATTACATTAGGTATCCTCCAAAATAGTTTTTCATATGCATTTGTCCAGCATTTGTACAGAAGACATTCGAATAAAAACAAGGGCACCGCTAGGCGGAGCATAATATGCCCGAAAGTGCTTTTTTAGTAAGGATGAAGCATTTGTAAGACATTACATAAATTAAATAAAGTATTACCTCCTCCAAATAGCAATCCTCCTATGAAGTTTGAATATTGTTGGCCAAATAGACCTTAAGTTATGCTCGGGAAACTGTTTTCAGTTTTAAGGTAAAAGTGACCTTTGATCTTGTAACCCCAAAATCAATAGAGGTCTTCCACCTAATATGGACGATCATCCTATGAAGTTTGAATATTGTGGGCCATACGAAACTTAAGTTATGCTGCAGAAACTGTTTTCAGTTTTAAAGTAATAGTGACCTTGACCTTTGACCTTGTGACTTTAAAAACGATCAGGGTCTTCTTCCCAATATGGACAATCATCCAATGAAGTTTGAATATTATGGGCCCAGTAGACCTTAAGTTATGCCCCGGAAACTGTTTTCAGTTTTAAAGTAATAGTGACCTTGACCTTTGACCTTGTGACCCCAAAATCAATAGGGGTCTTCTACCTAAAATGGACAATCATCATATGAAGTTTGAATACTGTGGGCCAAACGGAACTTAAGTTATGCTCCGGAAACTGTTTGCAGTTTTAAGGTGATAGTGACCTTGACCTTTGACCTAGTGACCCCCAAAATCAATAGGGGTCTTCCACCCAATATGGACAATCATCCTATGATGTTTGAATATTGTGCTCCAAATGGAACTTAAGTTATCCTCCGGAAACCAAATTGCTAACGGACGGACGGACGTGACAGACGGACGGACGCCAGGGGGTATAACATAATATGCCCGAAATTGTTTCGGGCATATAAAAAGGATATTCATCATCCAGAGTGTTACATATTGTACATTTTCTTTGATCAAGTAATATCGTATGTGGCTGATGACATCTGTCTGCTTTTACTTCAAGATAGTGTTTTGTTAATGCGTTTCTAAACTTCTTTATTTTAACAATGTCTTACTATGGCTGGTATCTAAAACATGGAAATCCATGTAGTCTGTATGTCCTGGCTAGTATCAAGTTTTTTCATTTTTATTCAGACCATACTGCAGTACATCGAAAGAATAGCCACACATGATTGAAACACGAAGATTTTAATGTTTCATGTTTTTAAGATACGTTTTTGAGTATCTATACATCGTATTATATACATGTTATATTTTGTATATTTGCATTGTAATATTTTAATCAAATATCTAACTGTACATATAAGCCTAGTTTTAAGTCAACTTGACTGTACCTCCAAAAGACAAATCTACATTGGGTTTGATTACGTATTACTTAAAGGTGTTTATAATATTCTAAATATTATTCCTATACTATTTGTATATGTTGTGCATGTTGTTAAAATCTAACATATATAATTTTACTGAGGGTATATTTCTCAATTCAAATATCATAATATTAAAACTTATTAAATCCTTTCTCGGCAAAGCTAACTGTCATGTTTTGCAGATAATATTGCTTTTACTGTTAAAAGGTCACATATTAAATGCCTACATTCAATCGTAAGTGTTAAACTGTCTAACCTTTTTCACAGACTACAGTAATCTAAATAAGATACTAATATGCATTTTGCCAGTAAATTCACATCGCAAATTATCAGTTAAAATGACTCGTTTGCCTTTTTTCAGACTAAGGAACTTATTCTTAAATTATTGATTTAGGTCAATCATTTACTTTATTAAAGGCAAAATTTGAGTTATCTCTTTTTTTCAAAAATGTAAATATGTTGAGTCTAGATAGCGGTACTAACACGTCCAGAAATGATTTACGTACCATATCTATGTCATGGTGTTGTCGTACAAATTCTTAGATGTGAAAGAAAGAAAAAATAACAACTGCTTATGAACTTTAATTGTTAAGAGAGTTAACTCTACCGCGCATAGAGACAATTTTTCCAGGAATGGCTTAGGAGTAGTCTCCCTTACACAAAGTATAGAGTAATTTCATTATAAGATGAGCTCATTCGATATAGTGATAGACAATACTATTTTATGCATATTTGTTTGAAAGAATAAGTTTATTTTTACAATTTTCAATCTGTTAATGTGAAAAATTTCTTTTACATCTCCTTTTACATAGTATATATAGACAGATTTATAGACATTTATGAAATAAAAATTGATATCTTTTGTCTTGCTAGTATAAATACAAATGTTAAAAATACGAAGACAGTAAGCTTTAGAGAGGGAGAGAGATAAAACGTTTTACAGTGTTTCCTTCTTACTGACACTTATAAGTGAAAGTATAAAAAGAACAAAGAATCAGCAAGTTTGCAAATAAGGCGACGAAGGACCAGATAACATGAAAGTGTTGGGTTATAATTAAAAAACAAAACAAAAAACAACAACAACATTTTTCTTGGTTCTGATTAATCTGCAGTACTAGTCATGCTATAAAAACTATTATTTTGTCCATGACTTTTCGATTTTTTCGTAATTGTATGACAAAACATTGTCATTATTAAATAAGCAATGGTTTGCGCCTCAAAATTTTCTTATGCATGTCTTTTGTTTTTTTTTACTATAAAATAGTTAGTTATTCGTGCATAATATTATCCCTGTTTTAGACAATGTCCAAATAATGTATCTGAAATATTTAAATCATCATTGAAAATCAGACCACATATATTTGCTAATTGAAAATGAAGTTGCAGCCAGAATTGTTTAATCAATTGAAAGTTTTTGGCTGACTTTGACTTTGACTTTGGCAAAAAGGACAATCTTCATATAATTTAGTAAGCTTAATTTTTTCAGCAAGTGATTTGGTGCCAGTATTTTATAGTTAATCCTTAATTGTTATATATATTCTTTGGATCTCAACTCATATCATATATTGAATTCCTTAAACAAATTCGCTTTTGTAATATCTCATAATTCATCTCGCCATTTTAGTAAAGAATTAGAAAAATGCCCTACATACTGCATTACTTTATAGACTGATCTTCACCCTTTTGTATCCTTTATTATAAGTCCGAACCGTTGAGGAATATGTGTATTGTTACTAAGTTTCTTTGGCAATTTTCGAATATAATTTACTTGAAGAAATTCATTTACACTTTAATTTTAACATACCTCTTTACTCTAAAATGTTGCTTTTTAAAAATCTGTCTTAGGTGACGGGTTTTCTTACAATTTGCGTTATTATAAGTTCGTTTAACAGAGTACTGACAGGATATACGGGCATATAAAGCCTTCCTGACATAAATATAACTCTCGTCCAACGCCTCGAATAATAGTGATCTCATCCAAGCCATAATATTCCGTGAATTCCCTCAGCATCTTGTATAACTTAAAGCTTTTTGCTTTTAACGCCTGGCCCGCCAATACCCCGAAATGATATTTTGTATTAAATATAAGGTTCCGTCGGTGAGAAAAGGTTACACAAACAGAAGAAATATGGGTAGTTCATATAACGGTCACTTGTTTTCAATTATTATATCTTTTTATATTGCGGTAGTTTTACCTCAACGCAACGACACATAGTCATACTGTAACTTTACAGCTTAACTGGAGGAGAAAGACCTCAGATGTTGTCAAGCGCTAATGGGCACCTGCGTAGAACAACCGACGCCGATTTTTTAACAATCTAGATAGCTTGTTTACATGAAATAATGCAAAGTCGCTCGCGGAAAAGGGGCAAGTGGTTTGAAGTAAACGACATTTTCCTCCCGGTCATAGACAAAAATGCAAAATTGTGCCGACTTTTATACACACTAATTTAACTTACTTAAAACTACAAGATGTCAAAAAACAAACGTCTTTCATGTATAACTTTAAGGATGCAACAGCGGCATGTAAATACAACCACCAGTTTAACATGTTGGAGCCAAACATTTTTATCTTATACTTTTAATCTCTGGCGACCATTTTATGCAGCGAAGCAGAAGGGGCAGTCGATATACACAGTTTTGTTTGGTACCGATCATTTTAGGACCTATGATATTTCGTTAAAACCACCCCAACAATTTGACCTGTGAAGGCCAAACAAAATTATTTATTTATTTCGTGCACTGAAGCGGACATACCATTGCAACTATGGTTGGTTTCCCATCACTCCTATTAAGTAATATTGGATCCTGCCAGCAGCTTGTCGTGTGAATGTCGGAGAAGGATTTTCTTTCTATTTTTAGCTCTGACGGCCATTGTGAGCATTGAAACAGAACGTGCAGGCGATATGCACAACAAGAAGTTGTACATATCAGACAAGAATTTTCTATTTATAGCATTTATGTTTAGCGAAGAGAACATGCCAATGATATGCACAACTAGGTACGGTGTGATCACTCCTGTGAAGTTTGATCTGCGAAGGTCGGACAAGATTATACAAACTAGGTGTGTTACTGAACACTCTTTCACTCATTGAAATCCCACAAGTGGTGACCTGTGAAAGCTAGACAAGATTTAATTTTCTATTAATAGCTCTTCCGGCAATTTTGTGTAGCGAAGCGGAAGATGCGGTGTATATACACAGCTTGGGCTGGTACTGACCTGTTCCGTGTGGTTGAAATCTCCTGTGAGTTTGACATGTGAAAGGCGGACAAGCTTAATTCGGACGGACCGGCAAACGGACAGACATACGACGAAAGCAAAATCAATGTGTCACCCAAATTTGTTGGCTACATAGTGAACCAATAAAGTGTTTTTTTCTCTCCTAGAAAAAAATTATAAGTTAATTTTTGTGATTTAAATGCCTTGTGATATACAGTTCCTTTCTCGCAACTTTTTTCATAAAACATATAATTTTTAAAAAACTATTTCCCTTTGTTTTAAACTTTTACTTTTTTATTATAAAAGGGGCCCGGGGTTTTTGGGGTTTTGAAAAGGGGGGGGGGAACCCCCTTTAACCAGACAAAAGGGTTTTATATAGTAAATTAAAAAAAAAAATTTTACCAAAAAAGGGTTTTAGTTTTAAATGTGTTTTTTTTCTTTGCTCATGTTAAAAAAGAAACTGACATAGGAAACAGTTGAATAGTTGTATGTGTTGAGAAATTTTTAAACCCCGAAAAGTTTTTTTTAACTTTTTTTCGTTTTTCCCCCCGGTTTTGGGATTTTTTTGGGGTCTTTTTTGAGAAAAAAAGGGCCCCAAAGGTGAATAATTGTTGAAACCAATTAACTTTTGTGTTTTTTGAAGATAACAAACAATGAAATATTTTTTCAAAAATATTACCCCTTTTTTATTTTTCCATACCCCAATTTTTTCGGGGAATTTGAATTTGGGCATAATAGATCATTTTTTTTAAAATTTTTTCCTTTTTCCCTCAAACCATTTTAAAGGGCATCAGCTTTTAATTTTTTATTTTAAAGATTGTGTAAACAAATTTCGCAATCACATGTATCATTTTCTTGTTCCATAAGTCGAAAGTTGATTGCCTAAACAGGGATACGTATTTTATATCATCCAAAGAGGGGACAAATGAATGACAGAAACTGTTTTATACGTTCATCTGCTTTTCTATTTTTTTTTCTTATTAATTAGACGTTGAATTAGTTTTGATAGGCGCGCATATCAAGATAAACGCGACGATTAAAATAAATGCTAAACACTTCTGAAGACAGTGTTATGGGAAATTCAATGTCAGAAATTATTTAAGGTGAATGAATTCTTATTTGACGAAAAGGTAAGGCAAAAAGTAAAAAAACATTCGTTCGGCTACATTAGGTTTCGTTATACCACTTCCTGGTGCGCGTATAAATTAAAAATAATGCCACGCTTTGTTGATGTTGTGATGTATACAGGTGTGTTTAAGTATACCACTATTCGTAAAAGGTTTAGCATACACGGTAGTTGGTGTATTTAACAGCTTAAATGTTTGAAACAAACTCATTTTATTTTAAAAAAACTCATAAATCAGAAGTTATGTCAGGAAAACGGGTGTTGTGCGTCGCTCAGTTAATCGGAGTGTTCCTTTTCTGTTTTGGTTTGGCCGGCGGTATACTAATTGGGATTTACTTATATCATGGAGGACCCGATAGTGAAGTTTCTTGCAAGGTATATATTAAATGTATATAAATTAAAAATCATATGTTTTTTTGGTTTTTTATAAGTGTATTTTCTTCTCAGTTTTTATAATTATAATAATACATAAACATCTAAAAATGAATGCTTTTTATTTCAAATCAAATTTCACAGAATATTTTGAATGACTCAATTCTATGCATATATTTCTTTCTCAACGATTGCTTCCATGATTATAGTATTTGCATGAATAATTTCAGAATCTCCCAGATTGGCTAAAGAACGGAGACAAGACTACTAGCACTTTACAAACGACCGTAACTTACGGACCAACCACTCCAAAGACTGAATGAATCAACTGTAATACAGAGTAAGATTCAGTAAAACATTTGATATATCTTTACCATTGGCATTAATTTTTCCACTGAATATATTAATATCCATAATGTTTTATACAAACAAAAATGTGCATACATTTTTGGACCGGGATAATTATTTTAAATCGCAATAACAGCTGAACTGACGATTTATTCTGATATCATTGTCTGTCATAAGGATGATTGTACAACAGTTGATGATTTAAAATGCTAAGGATAAAATATTGATATGCCTATTTATATAAAACTGCCCCAATCTTATCATAAGGCCACGTAAATTATTTATTGTTCATACGAAGGAAATTTTAACACCGAAAGGTATCATTGTATTATTTAAACTTAATCTGACTTTCACCTGTTCACTCACAATATACCCTTGGATATTTAATAAATATGTTTAAACAATTACACTATTGTAATAATTAGCGATAAATGTTCTATTTCGGATATTTAATTGTAGTCTATTTGTTTATACATGTAATTTTATGAGATATGTTGAAATTATTTTTTTTCTTAATATACCTTGTTTACATACACATTTTGAAAAATGTTTACACTGAGTGGTATATTAGTAATTTTAAAATCCTTACTGCGCAATATATTTGCAAACCTATTGTACAGAACGGAATGAAATATTTGTTTTTTAAGTACGAAATACCAATCCCAAAATAGCGTGTAAAAATAAATTTATTCACGATATGAACAAATTGTAATATTACGACGCAAAAAAAATTTATCACGCTTGAGTACAGCTCATTTTACTTAACCCGGAAGTTTTGTTGACTTCATGGAAAATGTGTTTCTTTTTAATTTATATTCGTTTTCAAAAGTATACTTTAATGATAAAAAAACAAAACAAAAAACATTTAACGCTCACTTTCTTCCGGAAATGTTTTATCATCAGATATCATTTTAACTTTGCTCTAGCCACGTGTATGATAGCGTATTTATTTGATTTACCTTTAAAACTAATTACATAATGTAAAAAGCGAAATCGTACATCTGAAAACATTGATTCAAAAGTATTCAATCTTTTCAGTCTGCGAATTAAACGTTATTATCTGTGATCCTAACATTTTGATTCATAGCATCAATGATTCTTCGGTAAAATTCGTGATTCCCCGGTAGAATTTGTGTATTTCCATTGATATTCATTCATTAATCGCTTCACGCCTATGCAAACTTTTTTTTATTCTTAAACTATCTGGAGGCGTGCTGCTTTAATTTATTGATATATATATGAATATTACCTTATAGTCGTGCGAATGCGACATTCTATTTAAAGATCCTGTAACACATTTTTTTCAGGATTATTTCATAACTTTGATGCTTAAATTAAGATTTGTCAATATTGTAAGTTTCAATAAGAATTATTTATAAAGATATTACCGAATTTAAAATTTCATGTAAATAAAGGGAGGTAATTAGAAATTTATTTTCTATAAATTCTTAGTCAATTTCAATAAGAAATGAATGCATGTAATTTATTGATAAAATATAATGTGCACAAATATATGCAGTACACATTTTACATATTGTTCGATGTTTGAAAATTGTTTTATTTGCATAATTATATACATGTATACTTTTTTGCAAGTGTGGTATACAGACAATAACAATATCAATAAAAAAACAAACAGGATCTTTTATAGAAAGCGCTTCACATACACTATTAATAATCAGCTGCGAGAACCATTTTTCAACACAGCCAGTTACCTCGTATTTTGTTATGTATGGTCGGTTGTTCTACTCGAGTGACTACAGACAAATGGGCACCTAAGTTTAACCAATTAAGGTAGAACGTTGCCATATGACCGGTGTTGATGGGACTAGAAACTCAACAAAACGCCTTCAACTTGTTTTATTTACAAGAATGACTCGCAAATTGTGACCTTCCTCCATCCAACTTTACTATTACAAAAAAATACGAGCATGTGCAGTCATTATGTCTGACAGCACCCGATTCTGCTGGCTGCTCATCATTCCGGTTGCAAAACTGCATCCCTATTACAACTTTCATCTTTTTTCTCTCTTATATTTTAGTTCCCCCTTTTCCAGAGTTTAAAAATCATATTAAATATCATCATTTAAATATGACAATGAAGGAAATGAAGTTTCTCCAAAGTTTTGATTTTTGTTTTTATATGCCAAATGTACATATATGTGGCAATTGTTCCACACAATGTGCCTAGAAACTGTAGTTAATGTACATGGAACCAACATGGCAGACATTCGACGCTTTAATTTGTTTTGTCAAACTTATACATTTTCGAATATTCAAGCAGTCATTTGACGACAGTTACAATTTTGTTAGTGTTATTTACTCATTCTTTGTTTTATTGAAACTGAATCATCCGTTTGACATGAGAAACACGAATACTACCAATAATTATCGGAAATGAAAATATGAGTATCGATTTTAAGCATATATTCAAAATGGATAGGGCATTTATTTTTACTTTGTTTTTGATACAGTAATAAAATGTATTTTTTATCAATATTTTTAGAAAGCGCTTCACGTACACTATTAATAATCAGCTACGAGAACCATTTTTCAACAACAGCGTTTCCATGGAAATCGAAGACGAAGACAGTACCCTGATTGATTACATGGAAAGGGCAGTTGATCAAAATAATACACTTTTTACAAAGTAGATTTATGTTTCATTATTTTATCTTTATATTATAAATTATTTTTAATTAATTTGACAAACGTTGCATTTTATATTCTCGGTACATTGTCTTTTTAAATAATAAAATCCTCAAACATTATTCTGTGTGGTTGTAAGAAGACCATTTAAACACATATTACTAGACAAAAAAAGACGTAAATTTAAAATAATACAGAGAGATTTCATAAGTAATAGAGGAATAAATATAATAATAAAGCTGATTAAGAAATAAAAAACATCATTAAGTGGTGTATATTTCAAAATCACGCATCTGTTATTTCATCATTTTTCTGACAAAGAGAAAAAAGTATATAAAAAAATGTCCCACTTATACATGTATGGCCATTCCAATATCTATACAATCATTTTGTGTGATTCCTGTAGCTGAACTTTACTATGGTTACTTTTTATCGCGTTCTCACTTCGTTAATCAATGATTACTCCATGTGTATTCAATTTCTGCAAGTAAAAAGCAGATTTCTTTTGCAATATTTTCGTGTTCTAAAAGCAATGCCGTCTTTTCCTTATCATATGACTTTATCAAAATTTGATAGCCCATCTGAAGGATCAAACAGTGTATGTCGAATTTTTGATCCTTCAGATTCACGGCAACGTATTTTTCTGGTTTGGGATATTTCATCGAATCTATCAATAACGTTAGTGGAACCTTTGCAGTTGATGAATCATACTGGGAAATACGTACACAGACAGGACCAACAACAGTGGGTAAGATAATATGTGTGTAAGCTTTTTGTAGTTTCATATTCTATATGTACAAAATAAAAACAAATAATTTGATTCGATAATTCAAGTCACTAACAATATCACAACGTTTGTCATACGCAAAAGAAAAAGAAATTAAATTTGATTTCTGTCAAATACACAAACCTAAGAATATGTGTTTATTAGCCATAAATTAAGGCCAAACGTCATGGCAAAAATCTTTGGTTCAACTTGATATAAAAATATAAACAGTGTCTTCCAATACACTGTTTAAATGTTTTTTAAGTGTTCTTGGCAATTAATTTAAAATGACTTTTTCTTTCATTTCTTTCAAATGACAATACACAATTCAATAAAACTGCTCCTGGGCTCCTTGCCGCTGATTCTTTTTGCTGGGTCGTGTGTGGGGGTTGCGTTTCCTTGTTGATCTAGTTTACCATAGTTCATACGTTTTTCGTTTTCAATTCCAGGTGTAAGTTCTTTTATACCAACAGATGGAGTGGAGGTCCTATTCAACCTTACTATCAGCTCTCCAGACAACGAACACAATTAAATTTATAATGATTGTATTTGTAGTTTTAATTGTATTGTCTTGTGTTTTATTTTGCATTGTATTGTGTGACTGTATTTCATTGTACTGAACAGATTACAGATCTACCATTGAGTTAGACATGAAGGACACCCCTTTAGGTATTCTCTGTTTCTTTATCTAAATCAAAACCACAGATTTTGATGAAACAACAATTAATGTATCTTCTATAACAAATGATATATAACATAAGGAAACCATCCTCTTAACTGTACTCATAACGCGAGTAGTAATATTATTCATAATTATCTTAATAGTTGGGAAATTGTGGGATTTAACTCAATACAGGATTGGAGCAATACCTGTAGACGCTTGCAGAAATCATGATCACAAAATAGACAAATATCTTTTTTTCGCGGATTTTTACATTTTTCAATCATTATCAGACATAAATCGGTGTGAAAAGATCAATTAGACGATTTAAAGTTCATTCCGTTGGATGAAAAAGCAAGATTTTAGCATTTTATCATTGAAGCGCCTTGTCCGGTATATACCGGAATACGGTATTTAGTGTGGTGTTCCAATCGTTTATTTAGTCTCACTCGAAATTGTGTGCATCACTGGTACTGTTTAACATCATAAGATTGCTAAACATCGTTGAGTACAATAGTGAATTCAATTGGACGAGCACACAGCTGTCAAAACTATTATATCCGAGGTTCAGTCGAGTCCAATATAGAAATTGTAGCTATGTACAAGCTGCAACAAGCAGCAATCGTAATAAGATTACATTATAGATTTGATATAGATCTATTAGTTACTGAAAATTAGAACGAGGCTTAATGAAATAAAACATAAACTTGATAAGAGCGAGGCTAAATTGATAAGAATGGATCCCTTAATGATTGCACCTGTTTGAAACACAGGAAGGTCATTGATTACATTTAAAATGTGTGAACTGATATAGAATATAAAGTTTTCCCCTTGTAAACTTTATTTGTGCATTTCCACTGTTCAGTTTATATATTTCAATATTTTTTTCTTTATACAAAGGCGGTATGTCCATCAGTATACAGTAATAAAATAAATACAATTGTTATTTACATATCAATTGCATGATATAAGCATGATATACATGCAACACGTCCATTACAAAGTCATTTCTTATTCATTATAACTTATCTAATATATAATATAAACGTTACAGTCAGAGAATATAATTATCGTTGATGAAGTACACTGTCTGCTTTATTAAAACATTTTAAAACAGATATCTCTAAGTATTTAACTTTGCACACATTTTCCGATTCAAGTAATTTTCTAAGTTTTAGTTTATTATGTCTTCTCCATATGCATTTGTCTAACATATTAGTACAGTGAATATCCGAATAAAAAATGAAATTCATCATCCATAGTGTTACATAGAGTACATTTACTTTGATCAAGTAATATCGTATGTGGCTTATGACATCTATCTGCTTTTACTTCAAGATAATGGGCTGGCATTATCGGTTTTGTAAGCTTCTATATTTTAACAATGTCTTATGGCTGATATCTAAAACTTGAAAAAACATGTAGTCTGTATGTCCTGACTGTTATCAATTGTTCTGATTGAGTGTTCATTTTTATTCAGACTATACTGAAGTACATCGAAAGAATAGCCACACATGATTGAAACACGAGGATTGTAATGTTTCATGTTTTTAAGATACGTTTTTAAGTATCTATACATCGTATTTTATACATGTTATATTTTTGTATATTTGCATTGTAATATTTTAATCAAATATCTTACTGTACATATTAGCCTATTTTTATGTCTACTTGACTGTCCCTCCAAAAGACAAATCTACATTGGGTTTGATTACGTATTCCTTAAAGGTGTTAACAATATTCTAAATATTATTTCTATACTATTAATTTTGCATACGTTGTGCATGTTGTTAAAATGTAGCATAAATAATTTTACTGCGTTTTGTTCTCGAGGGTATATTTCTCAGTTCAAATATCATATTAAAAATCCTTTCTGGGTAAAGCTAACTGTCATGTTTAATTTGCAGATAATATTGCCTTTACTGACAATTTCACATATTTAATGCCTACATTCAATCATAAGTGTAAAACTGTCTAACCTTTTTCACAGACTACGGTAATCTAGATATGATTCTAATATGCATATTGCCAGTAAATTCTCATCGCAAATTATCAGTTAAAATGACTCGTTTGCCTTATTCTTATAATATTGATTTAGGTCAATCATTTACTTTATTGACGCCAAAATTTTAGTTATCTCTTTTTTTAAAAGAAATGTAAATATGTTGAGACTAGATAGCGGTACTTACACGTCCAGAAATAAATTACGTACCATATCTAGGTTATGGTGTTGTCGTACAAAGTCTTAGATGTGAAAGAAAGACAAAAAATAACAACTGCTTATGAACTTTAATTGTAAGAGAGTAAACTCTACCGCGCATAGTGACATTTTTTCCAGGAATGACTTAGGCGTAGTCACCCTTACACAAAGTATAGAGTAAATTTACCATAAGATCAGCTCTTTCGATATAGTGATAGGCAATACTATTTTATGCATAAATGCTTGAACGAATAAGTTGATGTTTACAATTTTCAATTTGTTAATGTGAAAAAGTTCTTTTACAGTATGACTTCTATTCTCCTTTTACAAATTATATATAGACAGATTTATAGACATTTATGAAATAAAAATTGATATCTTTTGTCTTGCTAGTATAAATATAAATGTTAAAAATACGAAGACGGTAAACTTTCGTGAGGGAGAGAGATTAAAGGTTTTACAGTGTTTCCTTCTTACTGACACTTATAAGTGAAAGTATAAATAGAACAAAAGAATCAGCAAGTTTGTTAATAAGGCGACGAAGGACAAGATAACATAAAAGTGTTGGGTTATAATTAAAAAACAACAACAACAACAACAAAAAACATTTTTCTTGGTTCTGATTTATCTGCAGTACTAGTCATGCTTTGTGTGTAGTTATAAAAAATAGAAATTGCATAACAATCCTATGAAGTACATGTATATGATATTCTCTATTGTGGTAAAACTGGAATAACAAGACTATTATTTTTTTCCATGACTTTTCCAACTTTTCGTACTTGTTTGACAAAACATTGTCAATATTAAATTAGCAATGGTTTGCGCCTCAAAAGTTACTAATGCAGGTCTTTTCTCCCTATGATATATAACGTAATTCGCCCATGATATTATCCTGTTTAAGACAATATCCAAGTTTGTATTACCAACAATATGTCTGACATATTTCAATCTTTGTATAAATGTCTATATTACAAACTATACTCTGAAAATCATCAGTTTTTATTCTTGCGTATAGGAAAAGTTTTACATTCACCGTGAATAATCAGCTGCACAAAGATTTTTTTAACAACAGCGTTAAGATGGAAAATGAAGATGAGAACAGTCCCCTGATTAAGTACATGGAAAAAGGCAGTTGCTGAAAAGAATGGACTTATGGACAAGTATTTTTCAATTTATCTATTAAAGTTAGAGTATTTAGCTATATACATGTATATGCAGCAAAACACTTTATTTTTAATTTTGAATAAGAAATAATACTTCCAAACTGTTCGTATATTTCTTTGAAAGCAAATGATGCAAGCACGTAATCATTGCTGAATGGTTAAAACAACAGTGAATAAAGTAGCAGCATAATATTTTGTTCCGGAAATTTCATATGTTTTCGTTCAATATGCATGTTTGTTAACTAACAGACATTTTATTTGACAAATCTTTTGATAATTAACCCTAAGATTATGGAAACTATATATTTTTACTGTTAATTAATATATAAAACAGTTCGATAGATATCTTCAAATCTTGCTATGTATTTTTAATACAAAAATCCCCAACATTTCCTTTACAATTGATAAATAGATCTATTTGTACCAATGCATTATGCAAATGTGTTCAATATAAATATATCATCGGAGAAAATATATATATATATATATATTTTTATAAACAATATTGCTGTGACAATAAACCAAAAACTGTCTTTATGAATATTGCAATGAATATACTATGGAATACTATTTAATTGTACAAAGAATAAAAAAATGATATTAACTTTTACGCTTCAATGAGTCCTACTCTATCTTGGTCCGACGTTTTCCTTATCGATCTGTTACTAAAAATAGCACACTTTAAAATTCGCGAAATTCTTCGGAAAATCGTATATGTTGACACTTTGTCTGAAAACATGCAAGTTTTCTGAAATGATAACGAGGTTTTTTGATGACGAATCTCATTTTAATGTATTTTTGACTGAATATTTAGCCAAAATAATAGAATATTAAGTAGATAAATCCCTGCAAAAGGTAAAACGCTTTTGTCAACCAGTTGATGTATGGACTAAATTCCTTATAAACACTAACTTTGTGATATTTCCCGGCTTTATTATTGATGTATTTTGTCATGATGAGCTTGCATTTTAATGAGGAATCTCATTTGTATTTTTTTTTTCATTTCACACATTATCTGGATCAGTAGAATTTTACTGCGGATATAAAAATGCTTTTTGTTTGCTTTTTGTCAACCCATAGAAGGCGCCTAAGCCTCGTCCCCGCCTTGCAAACTAGGATGCAATGCGCATAGGAAGTAGTTTCACTGATGTTTATATTTTGTTTCTTGTGTGTCCAGACAAATAATCAATCACTGAGATAGATAGAGGATATGGAAATCCCAACCCTCCAGCAATCGGTTTTATCGGGAACTCGCCAAGGCTCGTTCCCGATTGAACCGATCATCCTCGGGTTGGGGATTCCCTATCCTCTATCGTACCCAATGATAAATTCTATTTGTGTATCATATCGTATTGTATTGTGCATTGTATGTGTACTGAATTGTGTATTATATCGTAGTATATTGAATAGTGTATTATTTCGTATTTATATTGTTTTGAATTGTGTATTATATAATATTTATATGGTATTTAATGGAATTGAACTGTGTATTATATCGTTTTTATATTGTAATGAATGATATTGAAATGTGTATTTATCGTGTTTATATTGTTTTGAATTGTGTATTATATCGAATCGTTTTGTTTTATATTGTATTGTATATTATATCGTATGGTATTGAATTGTAGTTTAATTTAACAGTATTCCTTAAACCCTTTTCCTCATATAGACATGTTATGACTGCTTTTTGGCCCTCCTTTTGAGGCCCTAAACAGTGAGAAACAACCATATTTAGGCCCCAATCACTGTTTTTGGTTTTAGAAATGTTGTTTAAAAAAGTAATCACTTTTTCGGCGCCGTCCCCTTTAAAAAGGTATATCAAGGGGTTGCCATAAGGGGGCACATCCCCTCTCTGTTTTGGGGGGGGGGGGGTTGAAGGGTGGCGGCAGACCTCCTAATCGCCAAGAAAATTTTGACAGGCTAAAAATCGTCTCAGGTCGATCGTAGGGTAACGTGTAACCAACGCTGAAAAACCTTTCACTCTATGATCTAAAGCCATTGAGAAGTTGCAGCACTTTGAAATCAGTTTTGATGGGGAAAAAACAATACACAACATTGATTTTTGGCAGTTTTGAGACGTCTCCCGTTGCCATGGTAACATGAAATATAAGATTGAGCATGCTGTCCAGTAAACATTTATATTTATGCCACGTTTCATCAGTATTGGAGCATTTTTCATAGTTTCATAGCAGTTTGAACTTGAAACAGGAGGCTTTTCAACGAAAACGGCCATTTTTCACAATATGCTCATAAGGTAAACGGTTAATTAAAAGAAAGTAAAAACCACCAAGTACATAAATCATATAAAATGTTAAAGCTGTTTTATAGACTCTTTCGTTTATAAAAAATAATCTAACTACTGTGTTGTAATAATGATTATCAGACCTCACTTAGAGTAACAATCTCACCAAGTTATAAAGTATGGCCTTGCTTTCACGGCAAACTTGATCTTTAAAAAGTGTTATAACAAGAACAAAAAACTTGTTTATTTCCTTAAACAATTGACAAAATTAATATGCACATTGGATTTAGATAAAATATTAAATACGACAAAACAAGATTAATGTACAAAGAATAACAATGGTACAATTATATGGAATAAAAATGCTATACATGAATTCATTATGTTGTTTTCTGTATACAAATGCAATAATAGTAACTTTTACGTAAAACTCCGATTTTCCAGAATATTTGTTTTAGTTATGAAAATTGACCATAAATTGAAAAGCGTTGCAACGCTTTTCACTTAAGTCGGACAAAAGAGAAAAATAGATTTTCAATTTTCAACTGAGAATTTTTCTGAATTATCTTCTGCATTAATTATCTTTCTCGTTAAGTGCCCCAGCTGATCTCTGTGAAACAATCAAATTTTGTGTTTTTCGGCTTTTGAGCCTCAGTGGAGTTCCAAATATTTTCTATATATTTGTAAATATAAAAAAAAATGTTTTTTTCAATTGATAAAAATATCTATTATATGCAAATATGCTACATATAAAACTATGTATCAATTATGATATAAGTTATTTGAAGTCAACGACCTCATTCACTTGGTCAAAGACACTCCTTAATTGGCAGCTATAATCTTGTTATAATTCGTGAAGTCTGATAAGTCTCAATAATTACTGTAGCTAAGTTTGTGATAACAAAATCTCTAAAATTTTCAATGAACTATTTAAGATTTACAGCAGCTGCTTGACAAATCAAAATCGCTAATCATCTTATGGTCCATAAACTTTTAATTCAAATGCTTCATTAGCTATTGGGGACTCAGCAAACTAGAAACTTACTGATTTTGGCAATGTTGTAAATAAAAAAGAAGTGCTTGAAATAAGTTGGCCTCTTAACAATCTATTTTTATCTATGACTTTTTACAAGCAAATCATAAAATAAAACTATAACAGACAAATGATACACTTTAGATTTACAGTGACATACGACGCTGATTCTAAATATACAATTGAAACAATAAATGATGCAAAAGCAACCCTGTTGATGAAGAATCAGTTAGGACCAACACAAACGAATAAGGTTCTGCACGAACAAAGTGTCCTTTTAACATTATCTGTAATGCTTCAACGCTTTATTTTTTTTTTCATTTTCCTAGAGGTAATGTTGATGAAAAGTAAAACAACATTTGTTGAACAAATGACTTTACTAACTAACTTCTAAGTTCTACTATAATCGCAAAAGTTGTCATACACGAAACAACCTGATTATCTATCTACAAGATTAGTTAGTTCAGATTTCAATTATATGACAAAAATAATGAACATCAAATCTTAATCAAGTTGAATGATTGCTGTTTAAGGAAGCATGCCTCCAGACGAACCAAAATTGATAAGCTTATTAATAAGAACTTAACATTTGACTAATTTTAATTTCAAATTAATAGTTCTTTGTACATTTTGACTTTTATTTGGTAATTAAGGTGGATTGAAAGTGCAGTTTGCAATTTGTAGATTACATGTTCTTCACTTGAATATAGATAACTTTTAAATACATTTTCAACATTTTATTTAAATAAGCATGAATCAAGAGACATGCTCTTTCATAATAACTTATCTTAATAAAAACAAATCCAGTGATGAAAAATGTTCATAATAAATGCTATTAACCGGTGCAAAAACCGTGCAGTAAAATGTTTGAAGGGGAATAAAAAGCATATAACACTTGAAATCGAACAAATAGATAGGCAATTATTTTTGTGATGCACAAATAA